GGTTTGATGCCTGGCTTACCAAGTCCACAAAGTATCCTTGAGCAAGATGCTAAACCCCATGGAAGCGTACGCATGAATGGTTAGACTACACTCAAATAAAAATGCTGAATGAATGGGTGAATTAGACTTATTCTAGAAAGCTTTGAGTGCTCAGCTAGAATAGAAAAGTGCTGTTTAAGTACCATACATAAGTACCAGAACTATTTTCCTCAACTTAGAGTAAAGAATGAGTGGGTTAGAAATTAATTGGAACTTTTAGATAGAGGCTTGGAACGCTGGTTTCAGAGAGGACAGACAATGAGCTTGTTGTTATCAACCATTTATTTAATGGAAATGGGTTAAGGCTTTTCTTCCATCTCTAACCCAACTTTAAAAAAAGCACTAACAAATGAGACAATATGTAAAAAGGTTCATTTGTGGATTAGAGTCAGGTGTGTTTAGAAATCAGACCTTTCTTAGAGGGCAGGGTAGTAAGGTCAATAAATAAATAAATTAATTAATTAATTCTCTATTTTCCAGAAGCTAAAGATTATTATCAAAGGAATGTATGTGACAGTACCACAAGAGATGTTATTATCTTTAGAAAGAATGATAGAGAGTTGAAGAGTGGTAATGGGGACTCACTTTTATTCTTAAATCTTTTATTTTGAAATTCTTTGTTGTATCCGTTGTAAAGTAAATCCAGTGATGCTGGTTACAGTGATGGTATTCCATCTACAACATACACCATATGTAATTTACTCTTATCATGTTATACCCTGAAGTGGAGTGATGTAACACATATTCTGTTATGTTTATGTGTGAAATACGATTATAGAAAATGCAAAAGCCAGTTTGTGTATTGGAAACACAGATTTAAGTGCCTTTGTTAGTAAAAGGAGGAAATCCCTTTACAGCTTTTTTTAAAGTGTTCTTTGAAAAAAAATCACTCACTACTACAAAAAAATTGAAAACAACAAAAAAGATCTTTTTTCATTCTAATCATTGGTCAGTTGGTGCTTTGCACTCAAAAATCTACTGTACAGTACAAAAGGGGGAAAAGGACAACCCTAGTGGAGTAAACACCATGGTGTGATTTAGACCTTTGATGCTTGGCAAACACTATAACAACTTAATGGACTAATTGGTGAGTGTGGCTGCCAGAGACTGGCAGTGTCTCCAGAGCTTCACCAGACCTGGTTCTGGCTTCTTTGTTGTCTGAAGCTGTGTCACCACAGTTCAAAATCATACCTACCCCAGTCTTACACCAATGGTTTGTCTTATTCGGGGGTTTTTTTTTTGTCTCACTGTTAATGAGTTATTTCACTTCAAGGCATTTCATTTGCATTTTTATTAGAAACTCTTGACCATACATAATTGAAGCTAGATGGGTTGATCATGTAGGGCAGCAGAGTACATCTCACAATAAGAATCTATTTATACAGGCTATACACTTAGTAGTTAACTTTTAATAGTTGCTTGTGTCATGTACATTTGCTAATGGTGTATTGGGTTGTTTTTTTTTTAAGCAATTGAAAAGACTTTTAAACTATACAAAAACACGTAAGCTGAGGGGTAAGAGTGCATACCACATGGCTGCAGATGCCATCAGCTGAGTGTCCCAGTTGAATCTTGCTTCTGCACTTTTCCTGTATCTTTAACTGTGTAAATGAATATTTGCACAGAGAACACAAAGGCTTGTCCAAGGTCATTGTTTGAGGTGTGACTCACATGTGACCCTTAGCTGCTAAGCTGAGGCACGAATAAAAAATGTGTTTCCTGCTTTTTGTAAGTGTTGTTTTCGTATCTTTGAGGCTTTGACTCTCTTAGCCGAAGGCCGTCACTGATTTCAGTTCGGGCACTCGCCTTTTCTGTTGTCCACAATGTACAACAACTGAATAAGCAGAGTAGAGATACTACATGCATTATGTAGAAAATGTATGAACTAGTAAATTAAAAAAATGCACTAATACACTACTTACTACTACTTCATTAACTACTTCATTAACTTTGTGAGATTTTACTGGGAGGTACATGAAACAGGTATTCAATAGAAGACCCTTAGTTGACCCTCTTTTTCAGTGTATCCCATCCTTTTTTTGTACAGTTAATTTGTTTGTGGGTTTTTTTGTGTCTATGTTGTGTGCTATCTTTAGTCATCAAATTTCTGATAAGTGCAATTGGCAAATATACAGAATTTATTTAATGTGTCTGAGTATGAAAAATGTTACAGCAAATTCAGTCAAACTGAAAAAATAAAGTAAATAGCGAAATATGAAAATGATGCAGGAGGTCTGCAGCACTGCTTGTAGGCTTTTGAATCAAATCTAAGTTTTGTTTAGTAATTTTACCAACTTCCAAGCCTTTTTAATAAATTGTGACCCTACCTGCCATTCCCCATGTTTTACATATTACAGACATACAGTACTACCATACTGTTTACTATGCCTATATATTTAATATTGGCTTCAGTACCAGGCTGTATATATTTTTTTTCCATATTGTAAACAAATATTTTAAAAAAAGCCACAAATGTCAATAACACCTTCACCTTGTGGCTATATTGTCACAACCAAACTGAATTGCAGTTTAGAAAAAGGAAGAAAAAAAAAGCCTATTTGTCACAATGGAGTTAATGAAAGCACTGATCACTGCAATGTTTTGTTTTGGGGTTTTTTTTTGTCAGATGAGATGTCTTTCTGCCATTACAATATTGGTTCTACCCTCAACATGTTCATGCATTAGCTGATTGCTTTGCATTATTTACCAAAGTAATTATCAGCACAGTTTGAGTGTGCATAGAGGCTAAGACAGTTATGCAAGCTGATGGTGCTATTTAAATTGCAGGGGGTTAATTTAATTATATACTGGGGGGAAAAAGATATTAAAAAAATCTATTTTGGACACTATTAAAGACAACATGCTACCAATAGAGATGTATCTACAGTTCTATAAATTGATTAAGGTGTTAATATCACTGATTTATATTTGCTTAAAAGCACTTGCTTGATCATTGTCATATATGATGCTTATGATTTAGGTTTCCATCTGTTTTGCATTCAAATGATTTAAGTCTCTTGTGATCTACCTATATCAATCATTGAGAGTATACAGTACTTTAACGTATAGTAATATACAATAAAAAGAAATGCTGAATAGCTTTGTACATAACAGGCATTTGATTAGCTGTATTTGCTTTTTTGTTTGCAGTAATGCTGTAATCAGAACTAGTGATAGTTGTGATAAAAAGGAAAAAAAAATTGCAGGGAGCTGTAGTTATGCCCATTTGTAGATATATCATTAGAGCAAAGCTGTGGGTAGAAGTGTTGTAGATTTGTGTAGCTTCCTTAAGAAATTGGAAAAAAAAAAAACTTTTTTACACACTGATTACAGATTTTACACACAGTATTGCATTCTAAAGTTCATTTTGAAATTGAAAACATTCTCACAAATGCAGCCTATATAACTCATAATGACAGATTTGGTTAGTTTTTGTTAGATTTGTTATCTGAAACATAATAAAAAATCAGATTTAAAACTACATATTCAATTTACTACATACTTGCTACTTACTAAATCAGTGCATATTCTTGCCCCCCCCCCCCAAAACAAACAAACAAACAAACTCATGCATTTTGTTGGCTGTATACTTTAGTTTGCTGTAATTGCTAAGAGCTGAAAAGTCAACTGAGCTCCAGGCGAGTACAGTCTGCAGTTTTCATTGATGATCTGCCTTCCTTCTGACAAATCTCCCTGTGTCTGCTGTCGAAAATAGGACCAGCTTATTCCTTTTTATCTAGGAGTTCCACATACAGAATGTTTTAGCCTTTGCCCAGAGATGCCCTGTAAAATATAGCTACATATTTAGCTAGAATATAAAGTAATAGGTTTGGAGTGTGACTGTTTTTGAGGTTGTGGACAGGTGTCTTTTATACTGATAACAAGTTCAAACAGGTGCCATTAATACAGGTAACAAGTGGAGGACAGAGGAGCCTCTTACAGAAGTTAGTTACAGGTCTAGTTACAGGTCTGTGAGAGCGAGAAATCTTGCTTGTTTGTAGGTCACCAAATACTTATTTTCCACCATAATTTGCAAAGTTCTTTAAAAAAAATCAGTGAATGTGAATTTGTGGATTTTTTTCCCCCCTAATTTTGTCTCACACAGTTGAGGTATACATATGATGAAAATTGCAGGGCTCTCTCATCTTTTTAAGTGGGAGAGCTTGCACAGTTGGTGGCTGACTAAATACTTTTTGTCCTACTGTACATTGCAGAGCAATATCCTATAAACATACAAGTTTGCATCCAGATATGCTTTTCATTTTTAAGGAATTTGGAAAAAGAAAAAGCTCACTTTGAGATTGTGGGCTGTGTAGATTAAAAAGGGTAATTTTACTGATTTTATAATTACATGGAAAAAGTATAAAAAAGTGAATGTACTTTAGAAGCATTTTTGTTCTTGCCCACTGTGATGATTAATAATTTCACCACATCACTACGTATCCATCTGGGTTTAGTACACAAACAAACTGTAGTAGTTTATATGCAAATTATTTCTGCAATGAATGTTCAGTGATTAAGCCATTTACTCTGTTTGTTATGCATCATTTATATGAATAGAATGTGTCTAATGCAGCAGCTCTAAAATAAAAACCTCTTTTGTGTCAAGTTTGTCTGTAAGCTGCTTTTGCAAGATCTCGTTTGAATTATGTGGACATTTTGGAAGCTGGAGTTGCTGTTACTGCTCAGTTACATTGCATGAGTTAAACACAGGCGTGGGAAAATAGTAGAAATATCTGTGTTTCTATGCTTGGATGTGCTATTGTCCTAGTTTTGACTATTACTGTGGCAACTTAGTGATTAATTTCAATACATCATGTCATATCATGTCACACACAAACATTTTTTATTTTTTGGGACAGTCAAATAATTCTAAGAACAAAGAAAACATTCACAACTGCAGACAAATAGAGGCTTATGTAATTCAAATAAGTACTGATCTTGTTTTTCTTAACTTACAGGTGCAACAAAAGGGCCTGTCGCACTTGGCTTTCTCTATTCTTCTGACAATCTCTACGTCAGTCTTTTGATAGTGGGAGAGAAGATAGTTTCTCTGGATCCAGCCTGACTCCTATTCCAAAGTTCCATCCCACCTAATCAGGTAATGACTCCGCCGTATGTGTAAACAAACATAATGCCAGACTTGGTAGCTGGTTTTTTTTGCTGATTTTTAAATTGGGCCCAAATGATTAGAAAAAAATAGTATGCAGAGAAAGATATGCGTGCAGTAAGGCCCAGGCTCCTGGTTCTGTTCTGGAACTGTCAAAATCATTGCTGTCGGTATGATAATGATTAAAAAGTAAATTGTTACTTTGAAACAACTCACCAAATCTAAACGAATTAAGCCAAAACCAGCCAAACCTCATCTACTATCGTGCTAAGCCTGTTCAGAATCAAATTCATCTATTCAAACATACAAGATGAATAACTGTCAAAAAGAGGAAAAAGAAACATTTACAACAAGAGAGAGCTGGAGAGAAAGAATGCCTGTTACCTCCACAGATGAAATGGCTGTGTGGGTGGATGTACATGTGAGTGCAGGCTGCTAGGAGCTATGAGTGGGAAGTGGGTACTGAGTGGGAAGAGAAGAGCTGCTTTAGTGAGACAATCAGCACCAAGACCCACTGAAAAGCAGTCACGCTTTCATGGCTTTTCTTTGTTTTCCGTGTTCCAGGTAGTGAGGTTGGCTATGGATGATTGGTAAAAGTGTCTGTCTGTATATAGAGCATGTTTGTATGTATCGAGGTCAGCTGATGGTGTGTCCCATTATTTCTCACATAATCATGATGTCGTTTTATAGAAGACTCCGTAGACTCACTGGACAAAAAAAATATTGTTTAAAAGTGACAGTAAGCCTCAAGAACTCATGTAAATGGACCTGCTGCTTTATTTTGGTTTCGGCTGGTTTATGCCACAATATGATTCACATATATTGTGTAAACAACAAAAACAAAATGCTTATGTGCACGTATGATAGGCACTATTTTGGAGTATTTCTAGTGGAAAGGGACACTGCATATGTATACATATTCACTTTTTATATATTGCGCATTTAAGCATTTGTATCCAGTAGTAATGACGACATTGTTGTTGTTTATATAGAGAAGTATTATTTCATGCTGTTCAACATGTTTTTTTTGCTCGTGCGCCAAAAATCACAAATCACAAAAATCCTCAGATGTAAAGTCTTTGCTGCAGCATTTAGTCTGCACCTACAAAAGCCTACAAAACATCAGGTGCTGTAATAAGGTCTTAAAAACCTGATAAAGCTGATATAAGATAGGTCTCTTTTTAGGTTTTAGAAAAAAGGCATTATTAAGAAGAAAAAAACCCACAGTGCTGATGAATTTTAACATTTTGGTTTCTTCTGTGAGTTTTCTACAACTTTTACAACAATTATTCCCCAAATCTGAAAGTACTACCTTGATGCATTTTTATGCATAATTAGAAGCTTTTACTTAGGAAACTGAATAAAACTGTGTTACCCATGCTAAAGTATAGCCAGCTGTGTGACTGCCAAGTGTACTCTGCCATATAAAATACTTCTAAAGGTACAGTTATACACTCTTGGAAAGCTGAGAGTTAGATGAGAGGATTCACCAGTTGCCAGTTTGTCTGAAGACTGAAAAACCCGGAAACAGCTACGTTTGCTCAAGTGGTGACCTGCAGTTACCGTATTCCTTTGAAGAGCTACTTGACGCTGGCTTCAAAAGTTAGCCAGTCTCGACAGACTTTAAGGTTAAATTGCCTAGCTTCATTCATGAAATTCAAATGTTTGTAATATGATACAAAAACAGTTTTAGATTTTTTTTTGAGGACTTGATTTTAAGTGTAGATACTTTATATTGACAAGTGTGCCAACATATGTAACTGCATCCTGTACTGTCCACTAGGATTCACCTAGTGCACCTATTTCAGCTGTATTTGTGGTATTGGTGCTCTTTGGTGGATGTTGCTGCAGATGGCTGACCCTCCCTGAGCCCTTTAACAGGTTTCTTCCTGTTAAAGGGAGTTTTTCCTTCCCTCTGTTGCCAAGTGCTTCCTCACAGTGGGTCATCTGATTGTTGGGGTATCCTCTGTATTATTCTAGCGTCTTACAATATAAAGCCCCTTGAGGGGACTGTTGTTGTGATTTGGCACTATGTAAATAAAATTGAATCAAATTGAATTCTAATTATCGGGTCAATAAAATTTATCGATGCAGCTTGCTATTATTAGCTAATAACCTAGCGTTTTATATTCCTGAATCCCAGAATCAAGACTGCAAATGACATGACAGCTAAACCAGAAGCATCAAAATATGGGGTTCACAATCCAGCGGGCAATCTTTCAACAAAAAAGTTATATCTCATCTGTCAAGTATCAAAACTCCTGTTTTATGGAGTTATGAGTGGGAGCAGTTTCCAAGGATTTACTGGTCGTAGCCAAGAAGTAATCTGGCACATAACCCCCTACCAATGAATTGCTATTGTGATAAGTTTTGTTATTTTTATATTTATATATATATATATATATATATATATATATATATAATATTTATATATATATATATTTATTTATTTATTAGGGGTAGTGTCCCTTTCAACTGACTTGCTGTAAAAAAATGCTAGTTTTATATTATATTGATTTCCCCTCATATCAGACTATTTGTTGAACAACTATGTGTATGATCTCGTTCTCTAATAACTGCGCGCTTAACACGTCTACTCGCATTCGACCTTGAACATGCAACATAAAAGAGCGCACATACTTAGGGACACAAGAGCTTGAATCCCTAGCCTCTCTTGCTCTCAGGCTTCTGCAGCTAGATGGCCCTCAGAGGAGAGCCCTGCAATGCAGCATCTGTGTGACTCACACATGCACGGACACGCGCGCACACACACACACAGCGAGATGGCAGCATGTAAAAGTGCTCAGATTGTAGGAGGGAAATGAGGTGGTAGAGAGAGCACAGTGAGGAGAAAGATGAAGCCTGATGAAAGGTGGAGGAGAATGAGTAGGAGGAACATTGAGTGTAGGAGGTGGAGGAAGGTGAACAGGAAGAAAAATAACAGGTAGGAAGAAAATTTCTAAGTGGAAGGATGATAAGAAACCAGACAAAAGAAGAAGAAGCAGATAAGAGCCATGGAAATGACAAATGGACTATTTAATTAGCTCGACGATTACATTGTCTGGAATGAATCTTTATGGCTGATGTGTTCATAGAGAGTTCATCACTCTCACTTCATCTATTTAAGCTGGACTCACATTGTGATTCACACTTGGAGAATAATTGTCTTGAAACAAATGAAAATAAACTAGAATATTTCCACAGCTTCCAAGTTTATCTTCAACATGCTTCTGATTGGTGCATTAGATTTTGCTTTAACTAATTGCTGTTTTCATAGTCAAGCATTATTATACAGGAACAGCCTATAATTAGTGTTGAAACTACTCATAATTTGCTGAGCAAAGATAATTCATATTAGTTTATAAAAACTCCCAAATAATAAATACATAACAATACTCAGCAGTAATCCCATTAGTAGTTTTGAACTCACCAAGCACTATTTTTATAGTGGGCAGGTGATAGTGGAGAAGGACAGGAGCAGAGCCTTTCAGCCTCTGGGAGAACATGCAGTTTCACTTTACTGAGCTCTTTTTGCAATGTCACAAGTGACAGATGCATTTAAGTATGAATTACAATTCAAAAATTATGTTATTCCTCTGAACGGATTATATTTATGTTTTACCCACACAGCACGCTTACTCTTTTGAGGCCGTGAGGATGCCCGTATGGAGCAAGTTTTGAATCAAGAATGTGTATTTGTGTTTTGACTCTCAGTTATAATAATGTGCGCAGTAGGCTATAGTTTTCTTTTCTCTGCCTGTCTTGTATTGATTGTGCCTCACAAGACAAATATGCATAGAAAATGTGACAGTGACTGTTAATTATTATTAATATGCTCTATAGCAGGAGACTGGAGCCCAGATCTCCAACACTGTAGCATAGTGAAAGTCAGTCAGACACTGTTTAAACTGTACTCCTTTACAGTGTAACTGTGCATGTTTCTGTGAATGTGAATTATGCGTTTCTTTATTATTATTTTTTTCCATGTAGGAAGCAAATAAAAACAGGCTCCAGGCTTTGAATCCTCTGACTTTATAATGATTGGCTTTTATTGTCAGCAGAAACAGCAGTTAATAACTCAAGAAGGCAACCCCAATATTTGCTTTACTTACATGGCACCCACTATCCCTCCTCTGAATAACCTCTTTCCCGAAAAACAGTTTTTAAATTAGATGGGGGAGTCAGGGGAGGAAAAGTACCAAGAATGGTTTATTCTGAGGACACACAGAGGAAAATTGCCCCCTTTCAAGCTTTCTGATTTAAAAAATGTAAAACAACCCACTGCTTTCCAGTAATACTTTAGCTAGAGCTCTGTGCATAAACAGCTCAAGATATTTACTGGATTAATTTCAACATCTCACATCAGTGGTGTTGTGGAAAAAGCAGCTTGTCACTGTTGATTCATTCCTTTTTAATAATCATTAGACGTAGGTGAAGGGAGCAGAGAGGAGTAAAATATCGCCCTCAAAATTGCTTTGAGGCTGAATAACAATGTCAGCGCGTGGAAGGCTGAAACAGGAGATGTAATACGCCTTAGTTTGACATTATGAAGTAGATATCAATTATGGATGTGCAGTGAAAAAAAGTCTAGATATGAATAAAAAACTGCAGATATACATAGTGCTGTCAAGAGATTAAAAAAAAATAGAGATTAATTAATTATGATTTTTAATTAATTGATCTAATTAATCTCTTTTTTAATCTCACCTAAAAATAGCTGAGGAAAGCCCTCAACTTATTGTGGCAGACCAAAAGACTGATATAACAAAGAAAGTGACTTTATAAAGTCATTTATTGTTTAACAAACGTTAAACAGATGCAACCATTTACATACTGTTGTATTCTTTTGTAAAATAAGTGGAAAAATAAATACAAATAAAATCAAATAAATTAAGTGCTGCAAGTTAGCACATCAGAGTTGCTCTTTTCTGAGCAATACAGCACTGAAATTCCTCTGCTTCAGATAATGAAAAATAAAACTGACATTGCAG